ACAATCGTTGCCAAAAATATACCTTTAGCGGTGACAATTGCCGCAGCTAAAGGTATACTTTTGGCGGCAATTGTATTTGTTGCTGTCAAAAACTATTAGCAAATAAATTTTTGATAGCGATCTTTTGAATGTGAAAAGTTGTAGTTAAAAACTTTTAGCGATAACTTTTGGCATAACAAAAAGTTACTGCCAAAAGTCATTTTTTACAATAAATAAAAGAGTCATCTCATATCAGGTCAGCTAACACCTTATGGCACACCACCTACCATGTGCGCACTTCCTCATGCTATGGTGCATGCAAGATCACCTCGCCATGTGTGCACCACATACCACATCACCTGACAACTTATGCCAGGTCAAGCCATGTCACCACCACATGCTACATCACATATTCATTATAAAATATGCTCAAGTCAGAATTTAAGCTCTTAACCTTCACCTCCCAAGCCTTAAATCATTCTTTTTTATCAATTGAATTGAAATATACCTACAATTATTATATACAAAATTAAATATATATTATTTAACTACATGCACATATATTAAATAATATATTATTAGAAATATATACATTTATATTTTGTTTTCATTTATTAATATGATAAATAATTTATATGAGTGTGTGTGTGTGTGTATCTATATTATATCTTTAAGTAAAATATTATTTTTTTAATAAATATTATTTTTTTATGAAAATGAACTTAAAATGAAATAATTTTTATATATTAAATAATTTTCTTATAAACATTTTAACTAGTTTTTAAATTTTATTTTTATTTTTTAAATGAAAATAATTAAGTGTATAATTTATTTATAAGTACATATTATATTAGTTTATGTTAAATATCTTTTACTGTTTTTCATATTTTTCTCAAAAATTAATTAATAAATGATTAAACTTTTATCTTCTCTCAAGTTACATGCTTCCCCTTCTTTTATTAAAAATGAATTTTATCTATAATTTTTCAATTATCTTAAAAAATATTTTAATAAAAAATTTATTTTAATCATATAAATTTTATTAATAGTCATTTTGAATAATTATTATTTATTATCTTTGAGATAAGAAATGGGTGGACATGTGATAAATTAAAAGTAGATGCTAAATAAAAAAAATTAAATTAAAAATCAAAGTGAATATTTCATAATCAAAATAGAAAGAATCTTGTATTGACTCAATCTAGATTAGTTTAGACTTCTATTAAAGTCTCTTAATAAGATCATTATTAAAAAATAATACATAAGAAATTTTTTTAAATAAAATTATTAAAATAATGGCTTAACAAGATCATTATTTTTAAAAATAATCATTATTGATCTTATATATAATTTATTTCTTATTCTATATATAAATACTTTTAATGGTAACAAATTTTTCTGATAAAAATAATTATCTAAATTAATTTTTATAAAAATATTTTATAATTTTTAAATTATTTTTATGAAAATAATTTTTGTCGCCGCTAAAAGTAACACCATGAATTATTTTTAATTTTTTTATGAAAATATTTTGTCATCGCTAAAAGTAATTACATAAATTTTTTTAAATTTTTTAATTTTTTTATGAAAATATTTTTGGTGATGACAGTTTATTGCCATGTAAATTTTTTTAATTATTTTTTATGAAAATACTTTTGCTGGTTATAATTTATCGCTGCTAAAAGTAATTACATAAATTATTTTTTATAAAAATACTTTTTAATTATTTTTTGAATTAAAAGTCACTGCTAAAAGGGAACATTTGGCAACAACATTTAAAAGTCATTGTAAAAAAATTATTTTTGGCAGTAACTTTTAGTGGCTATACAATATCAATGCCAAAGGTCTAATTTTAGTGATGACTTTTAATTGTCGCTGTCAAAAGTAAATATTTAGCGGTAACTTTTTTGTTGCCTTTAAAAGTTATCGTTAAAAGTCTTTTTTTTTTGTAGTGCTAATAGTGATCTCACAAGTATCATAGATATGTCAATGGTGAGTTCAAGCATGAGTATCTTTATAAGATGCCTTGACATTTTTGTTTAACACAACTGTATATTTAATTTCAAGACTTGAACTTGAAATCTTATAATTGAGATTTTTTTGACATTGGCTATGAACATATGCAAAAGAAACAATCTTTCATGAAAAAAGATGAGTTATTTTTATCTTACCTTGCCTCTTAGTAGCTTTTCCACCAAGCTCAACCACAAGTTGTTGAAAATCAAGGTTACATTTGTAGTTGTGGTGGTTTCAGACGTATTTTAAAGGGTGTCCCAAAAAAAACAACATATTTTAAAGGTATTAGGAATGACCGGGATTGCCTAGGACCTTTGGTTCAACTAGCATTGGGACATCCTTGTGATGCTTATATCACAAGCTCAGACCTGCGCCTGCAAATGTTTTGACTTGCCTACATCAAAAAAAGAAAAGGAATGACCAGGATTAAAACAAAACGGATGGTTCGGGTGCATCTTAAATTTCCTTGTGCCACGCATGACGCATTATGAGCCTTTTGATTATTTGAATGATTAGGATTTTGAAATGCCGAGGGACGCTGAGAATTTTGATGGTAAGAGAATCTGTGCCCTATGTGTTCAACCAATTGATGTAGTGCCATTCGCAGTTCAATTTGCTTCTAACAAAATTACATTTGGAGTATCCAACTCTTTATTAAATTTGACAAAAGCACATCGCAAATGTATTTTAAATATATTTTTAAGAGTTACCCAAACAAGCCTATATTTTTACATTTCATATGACTAAGATAACAACATAAATGATGATGAGGACTTGATTGTATCATCACTAACAGTAGAATTAGAAATATGGGTCAACCCAGATCATATAAGTTGGCCTATATGAGTTAGGAAAAATATGGATTAAATTAGCTTCAATCCATTTTTATATAAGTTGAAAAAATTTCAACCCAACCTAGAGTTGGAAAAATGGTCGAGCCTATCAAACCAACCTATTCAAAACCTGCATAACAGTAGGGCTGAACTTGTAAACATGATATTAAAATGGTAAATCAAATTTAAATGAACTTAAATATTTAAGCCTATTTAATTTTGAGCTTAAACAGGCTGATCCTTTGTCAGCCCGTTTAAGCCCACATGTACATTTTTTTTTATTTTCATAACTTTGACTCTTTTTGGACTTAAAAAAAATTAAATTAAATCTTATTTCATATCACATGTGAATCCATATTTGTTGCAGAAGAAAGGCCAAAAAAAAAAGAAATACAATCCTAAATTTCTTAATTCATCGAGATCTCCCAATCTTATATCTTAGCCCCTTAATCTCATATAATCTAGATTGAGTGTTTGTTGGCTTAGCTGATCCATTGCTTGGTGCCTTATTGTCATTTTATTTGTGTTTTTAGTTCATGTAGATGTTATTTAGTTAGTTTTCTCATTATTTTTTTTAATTGGATATTATATTGGAATGAAGTAGTTTTTTGTTTGATAAAAAAATTTGAAAAAAACATAGTTAAAAGGGCCTGAAGCCCGGCAACATTGAACCCACTATGTCAAGGGTTGTGCTTTGCATTTTAAGGTTATAAAGAGAATTCAAACTTAAATAAGCTGCCCCTTTTAGGCTTAAGCCCATCAAGGGACAACCCTACAATATCAAGGTAGCCCGTTTTTCCAGCTCTATCCTAACCTTTGAGTGTTGGCATGTTATAATGAGCTAGCTTGCCAACTCATTTTATTTTTTAATTTATTTTTATAAATTTTTTAAAAACACACTTAAATGAAAATGATGATGAGTTCCCATATGATATTATTTCATGTTATGATTCATTCTAAATATACCAAAATGCTAATATATAATACTAGCATAAAATATATGAATTGAACCAACCAAATCATGCCTATCTGTTTATCAAAAGTCAAGAATCTACAATAGTTTTTCATTTTTTCTTTATTTTTAATATTTTTTAAAATAATATGGGTTAAATGGACTAACCCTAACCCATCTAGGTTAGCCCTCGATTCGAGTTAGAAAAAAATTTGCTTTTATTTTGATCATCTTTTCTAACTCACCTCAGCTCATATGATTCATTATTCGATTCAACTTGTGTGACCCAACTCACATCACTGCTCTAACTAATAGGATGATAATATGTCAACCATGTTGGCAAATCGGCTAACGAGTAACAAGGATAGTAATATGGCATATGATGAAGATCAAACACCACGTTTGTCTTGCTATCCTAGACTATGACTTGGAAAATGACTACAATGACATGAATGATGAATTGATGACGAGGAAATGGTGATTACATGGTTGCTGATAATAGTGATGATCTATCTAATTATGTGGCGAACAAGCTTCAGGGATGGTGATCTAGCCATGACTTGGACGATGATGCCATTGATGATGAGGACCGCATGATGATGTGCCATATTAGCTGACCTGTAAGACACTATGTGGCACAGAAACCGAATGAAAAACAAGCAATTCTTATTCTTTCAAGTCTGCCTCTTTCACAACCACAAAGGTCCTATTTATAGTTCTAGAATTCGTGAAACTGATCCATACAAATTAAAAGGGAGGGTTACAGAAATTAAGGGGAGGTTACAAAGAGTTTATGATGTTCCATTATGTGTGTCTCCCTTTTCTGCTTCATTATGTGTGTGCCTTCCGTTTCAGCTCGTTTCTACTCTTTCCATTTCACTATGTCACTGTAGATGATAACGTGGTGTATGACTAGGATGACAGTGTGGGAGATAACGAGGATTTTATGATTACAAGGTCTGCTCACGAAGCATATGTAGGCCGACAAGGACAGTGACTTAGCTGATGACTAGGATGATGACGAAACCTTTTGATGATGAGTTGGATGATGACATGTTCTCTACGTGTCACGTAGACAAATCATGTTCAGTTAATAATAATAAATCATAAAGAACTTGGCTCGGTAGGTTCTGGAGAACGAAGCCAGGGACTTGAAAGAAGGTGGTCCCCTCGAGGAGTTAAAGAACAAAATTTGGATTCCGTTAACGAAAGATCCAAATTAAACAGTGGGATAGAATAGAGCGATGTCTCCAATATCAGCCATTCATTGAGCTTCCCTCCATCCTCCTCTTCCTCTTCTTCATCATCGTCGTCTTCGTTCGCCATTGGACCTTTCAACTCTTAACCACAAGACCCTAATTCAACACTTTGTCTCAGTCTCAGATACGTATGGTTCACCTTTTCTACGTTATATACTCCATTCGATGATACTGTCACTAACTTCCTCTGTTTTAAGCACTCCCGTATAGCAGTGAAGTTCTGATTATAGAAACTCAAAATCTTTCGTTTAGCAGATCTTTGGTCAGAAGGATAAATGGAAATGAATGGATCAGAGATTGATAGAACAAGAGTTGGGTCCGTTAAAGCAGCGATTAGCTTTTATGGTGATAAGATTGGAGATAGTAATAGCTCTTTATTGAACAAAACCTACATGGGTTTCTCAGCGGTGAGTTCAGATATTATAGCATTGAAAAATCCCTCTTCAACTGTTTGCTTTTGTGCTGTGTACTATATTATGGTGTTCTTTTCAAGACTAATGTATTTGGTTGTTTCTTGGAATTTTTAAGAACATTTGACAAATTTTAGTTTACTCTCTCTCTCATTGGGGAAAAAAAAAGAAAGAAAGTTTAGGTGGGTCCAGGGTCAGGCATGCCTCCGTGCTTAAAAAACGTTTAATTTTAGTTTATTGTCTGTCATGACCATTGTTCTATGTATGTATGTGTATTATGATCAATACAAACTTATCCAATCCATTTAGGTGACAAAAATTTTGATGACAGACTAAATTAAGAATTTTTAAATTAATGGTTAAATTAATAACTTGTAAATTACAATGACTCAACAAAAAATTGAGTGAAAATCGGAGATCAACTATATAATTTGACTTTTGCTTATTTTGATAGTTCTTCGTCTGAGAAACTTAGAATATTGTGTAAAAGAATTCTTTAAAGTCCCATCTTGTATAACTCTTTTTTTTTTTTTTGGTTTTATTGATCTTATAAACTTTTTGAAAGTGTAAGAAGTGACACCAAGGACTGAAAGTATACATAAGATTCACCTGCTTTCTTTTCTCGTACTCTTTTTTTTCTGTTCTTTCTTTGAAATTTACGGGAAAATTACGAGGGAGAAATTCAGAGAATCCAAATTTTGAGTTTTGGTTATGTTAGAGTCTGGGAATGTTTATTGAAACGACTGCCAGACTGTTGTTTTGTTCAGTCTTCTAATTTTACTTTTTAGTTTGGAAGTTCTTTGTGTGTTTCTTCATGGACACAATGTAGCTTTTGTAAACTAAATGATGGTTTTCTTTGTGAAACCTGTCTGTCTTTTCAATCGGAAGCCATCATCAAGAGCAAAAGAAACCCAGAAAGCAACATGGGAGGTTGTTGATCCGAAGAAAGAGCGCAGATGGGCTGCAGAATTTGAGCGATCCAATGCGAAGAATACTGTGAAAGGTCTCTCTTCAAAGATTGAGGAGTCAAGCTCAAAATCTAAGGCTTTGGTTGTGAGGAGAAATGAGAGTTATGATTATGAGCAAGTCACGAGAGAGTTGGAATTTATTAAACAGGAATTGCAGAAGCTCAAGCTTGATGTTGCTTCTGTTATGGAAGAGAAATTGCGAGCTGAGGAGGAGTTTGAATCATCAAGATCAAAGATTCTGTCAGGTTCAAGAGCTGCAGAAGAGCTTAGGAACGAGATTGAGGATGCTAATGAAGACCATGTGCTTGCAGAATTGGCCAGAATTGAGGCTTTGAAAGAGTCAAGAGACATTGAAACTCAGAGAGAGAGAGAAGAATCTGAATTCTTGTCTAAAATGGAAACTGCTAAGAAAAAGATGGAGGAGGCTACTGATGAGATAGAAAGGTCAAAAGAGCTTGAAATGAAACTAGCTGCGACAATGTCTGATGTTGAAATGTTACAGAGTGAACTGAACTTGGTAAGAGAATTGGATGAATCAAAAGGCTCTTCTTTGTTACAGAATATAACACAAGAACTGGAAGCAGCAAAGAAAGAATTGGCTTCAAGCAAAGAAGAAGGTTTTCAATTTATGGGCTCCATAGATGTCATAAGAAATGAGCTGAATCATGTGACTACCGACTTGGCTCTGGTGAAGAAGGAGGAGGCAAAAGTGGAATTGAAAGTTCAGAATCTGAATTCAAAGATTTTGAGAGCAAAATCAAAACTGGAATCCGTATCTAAAGCTGAAGAAAAAGCCAAATCAATAGCCATGAGCTTATCACTTTCTCTTGATGAACTAAAGGCAGAAACAGAAGCAGCAAGAAAAGAAAAGGAGATTATTACTCAAGAGAATAGAACCACCAAAGAAGAAATTAAAAGAACTGAGCTTGAGATTGACATGACTGAGGAAAAATTACAAGCTGCAGTGCAAGAATTGGAAGTGATAAAAGCATTAGAAAGTGAAGCGTTGGAGAAGCTGAAAACTCTCACTGAAAATGCTATGAGAGAAAGAGCTTTAGCAGCCAAGCGTAGTTCATCAATTACTATCTCAAAGTTTGAGTATGAGTATCTAACTAATCATGCAGCTGTGGCTGACGAAATTGCTGATAAAAAAGTCGAAGCAGCACATGCATGGATCAAAGCTCTCAAGGCAAGTGAGCATGACATATCAGTAAGGACTAAGATAGCTCTGAGAGAGATTAAAGAGACAAAAATGGAACGAGAGATAATGGAGGTTAATGCGAAGGAGAAGCTGATTTCAAAAAGAGTTAGCAGAGATAGGTTAGAGAATCTGGCAAGAAAACGTGAGAAAGTTTCGAGTAATTACAACTTGCCGCGGTCAACATCCAGAAAGAGCATCAAATTATCCAATGGTATGGTTCCTGCCAGCTCCAAGCAAGCCAAGTTTCAGAAGTCAGCTTCACCAGCAGGTAAGCTTGTGAGTCCTTTCACTATGAGGAAAAAAAAGATGGTAATCACGCATTTGGCCAGCTTTTTTAGAGGCAAGAGAAACACCAGGAATTCATACAAGAGAGAGAATGAGAGAAAACAATAGGAATCTGTAAAATTTGCTTAAAATGTAGCAGAAGGGAAGAGAGTGAGGTAAACATGTATATTCCTCTCCATTCCCTTCTCTTTATATTCTCTTTTCCACTTTTGATCTATTCCCCCAATGCTCATCTTTCATCTTCATATACTACATCCATGGACCATGACACTGGTTTTGGTTTCTCATCCTCCAAATATTGTGATTTTATTCCTCATTAGACCCCCAATTTAAAGGTGAAGGTGTAACAAAGAATAAAATTAATACAATGGATTAAGAAATAATATAGTATATATACACTTGATCGTAGCCAAAAAGCTGAGGAAGCCAGGAAGGTATGTAATAATACTCCAATGTTCTTATATGGAAGTCACCTTCTATAATTTTTTCTTCTATTTTTCTCTTGATGAATTTAAGTTTTTTTTTATTCTTACTTATGAATCATTTTGTGAAATCTACTAAGCAATCAATATTTTATTAATTATTATTCTATTTCTGTTAATGCTCTTGTTATGGATATTGTTTAGTAATTATAATGAATAGAGGGACTAAAAAATATGATCAAGAATTTGCATTTAATTATTTGTGCGAATTTGAGGTAATTTCAAGACAATCGACTAATTTTAACCATCACGTAAAAAAAAATTAACAAACTTTTTTATACTGTGCATTGACAAATGTGACGTCGGGATGAGTATTTAGTATAAAAGATTTGTGGGTGACAAAATTTTAAGTTTCATGGAATTTAAGATATGATTTTTGTTTCTAAAAGTTTTTTATTGCGCGACATTTGCTCATATTGTAGCTAATTTGGGCCCAGTCTAAAAAAATTTAAGACTGGACTTAATAAAGCAACACGTTTTTAAAGTCCAGGCCTATTGCCTGAAATATTTTAAATTTAAAATATACTGATAACACTTTACTTTTTTAACAAAGTATATTTTACATTTTATTATAATAATACAAATAGTTAATTTTAAATTTTAAATTATTTTTTTAAAAAATATTGTTATTTCAAATATTCAAGCCACCTCAAGGAAGTTTGAAATCCAAAAATATTAGAATCAAGCTTGGTTATATTGGTTTTTTTTTTTGTTTGAACTTAGTTAGGTTGGCCTTACTTATTTGAACTTGATTCGAATAAGCTTGGCCTACTCAAATTGTTGGCTCTAGCTAACTCTCATTTCATGATATATTTTTTCTGGCCAAACATTTTAGGAGAATAAAAAAATATTGTTAATTCAAATATTCAGGCCAGCCCAAGTAAGTTCGAAGTCCAAGGGTATTAAAATCAAGCTTTGTTATATTGATTTTTCTTTTTTATAAGTTCGAGCTTATTTAGTTTAATCTTACTTAAACCTTATCTAAATAAGTTTGGTCTGTTTGAATTATTGGCTCTAACTAACTCTTGTTTCATGAGATTTTTTTTTTTTTGCCAAACATTTTAGGAGAATAAAGATGTGCTTTTTCATAAATCGTATACCTTGCCGCAACAATGACCTTTTCCCTTGGTTGTTGAAATCGACCAGTGTTCGCCAATAATTAAGGTGCAACTTTTTATGGTGGTTTTATCTAAGATGAAAAAAAAATAATTGAATTAAAGAATTCTCCAAATATCTTAAATATTATCCAAGTGTGGCAACAAAGCTTATGGGTGTCTTAAAAAGGCTTAGCAGTTGTTGGGCTGAAAATTTTGATAAACTTAATGTCTATTCTAACTCTATAAAAACTGTCACATTAATATGCAATGAATTCCTTGCAAATCATCCTCTAATTGCAACTATTAATAAAATTAAAGATCTTATTATGAGATATTAGATGGTCGCTTTTAATTACATTATTAGGAAAGCTAATTAATGTGTGGATTAATTGACTTATCAAGCTCTTATAGACAATCCAAACATTCACATTTTTTATGCTCTGCCTCTTAGTTGTAAAAAAAATTTTGCACGCTGATGTAAGACATCTTGTCACTTAGCATGATTTTTTCCCTAGCCTTCTATTAATTGAAAAAAAAAAAGAAAAGAAAAAAATCGACCAATGTCAATTTTAACGCACACTCATAAGATAGTGTATGTTCATACACCTTGTGCCAGTAATAAATCATACGTCTTGTGTCAATGGCAAGTTGTTTAGGGGCAACACTACCTCCTTTAGGGTTGAGGGTTTGAATTCACCATTAACGTATGCGTGAATTATAAATATTAAATTGATTGATTGATTACTTAAAAAGAAAAAAAGAAAAAAAAAAAGAAAGCAGTCATTAGATCTGCGTCTTCATTATGTTCAACAATTCAATTGCTTCATCTCCCTCTCTATAATGCAATTGGGAAGTTGATAATATTAGCAAAGGAAAATGCCAAGTAATGACTTTAACTTCTTGTGTTAATTGTTAAGGGCTCTAAAATTTAACTTTTATCAGTAAACCATAACAATTAATTATTAATTATTACTGGCGCTTTCTTCAGTTATTATTCATATTGACTAAATTTGGCCAAAAAATATTCATATTCACTGAAGTTAAAGCATAGGCGTCTTCTCCCCCCCCCCCCCTTTTCCAACGTATAGTCTTCCATACGTTGCAGAAATATGTTCATTAACAAGGAGAAAGTCAAGTTTAATTGCGAGAAACAAGAGCAGTAAGTTTGAAAGCAACAATGATGACTTATTACCATAATTTCTCATAAAAGTTTGATGTTTAATTTCAATCTCCATTTTCCCTTAACTTATTACTATTGTAATAGGATTATTACATTTATATTCATCACACAGGACATGAACCCAAGGACAGTTAGGCTTTATAAAAATTCCCTAATAGAGCTTCATAATATTTGTCTTGTTTTGATTTTAGGTTGCGTTTGGATATGTGGATTTAAGTTAGGAATTTAGATTTAAAATCTTATATTTGAAATCTCATATTTAAAATTCATAAATTCTAAATTCTTTGTTTGGATAATATAAAAAATTTTAAATTATAATATTAAAATCTTTTATTTGAATTTAAAGTAAAATTTCAAATTTCAAATTATATATTTAAATTTAAAAGAAATTTGGAAGACTGGTCAAAGTCAACGGTTCGATTGGCCAACTTCCATCGGGATTAGATAGTCAAAGCCGATTAGGAATGTAGCATTGATGATAATCAAAATGGGACGATTGACTTCCACTGAGATTGAACTGATGGCGATGACAAGGACCAGACGGTCAACTTCCATGGGACCTAATCAACAGTGACCACTGAGACTGGACCAACAACGTCCAATGAGACCAAACCAACAGCGATGACCTAGATAGGATGGCTGACTTCCATCAGAATTGAACAGCCAACTTCCATCGAGACTAGACCTAATGGACATCGATTGTCTAGTCCTCATCGTTGCCATTAGTCTGGTCTTGGTAGAAGTCAACTGTCTGGTCCTAGTGGTCACTGTCAGTATGGTCCCCATGGAAATCGGTCGAACGATCCCCGTTGTCGCTATCAATCCAGTCTAAGTGGAAGTTGACGATCCTATCCCTGTCATGCCATTGGTCCAGTCCCAGTGGAGTCGATAATTCAGATTGGCCAAACTTATTCTGGCTAGGATCAATTCGAGCTAAGCTTATTCGGATCTGGCTTAAAGAGTTAAAGTATCATACCTCTTTTAAGAAAATCCATATAATCAAACCTAACCTTAACACCTTCAGGCTTTAGGCTTTGAGCTTATTCGAGCCGGCCCAAATACCCAAAACTTTTAAAAAATATTTTTCTCTATTTTTTGAACTATTTTTAAATTTTAAATAATTTTGTTAATCAAAAAAATTACTTTAACTTTAAAATAATAAAATAAAAAATAATAACTTATCAACTTTATACTTAAGTAGCTCTGTTACTGTTCTATTATATTATGTGTAATTTATTCATGAATGTTTTCTTTACTTATAAATTAATGTTTTGGTTGTTTAAATATTGCTCTTATCATGATCATATATAAATATTTTATATATTTTAATTAAACTATTTTATTTTAATTATGATTAAATCGATCTCAATTCAATCACGGTTAGACTACTAACTTAAAATTATTATCCCAATTAGTTCAAAGTTTTTAATAATTTTTAGGTAAACTATACTTTTTGTTTTTAAGAATATGAGAAAAATAGTTATCGTTATATTATATAAAAAAATCATTCAATTATGAGTAAAGTACTATTTTTTAAATTTTTTTAACCTTTTATATTGTTTAACCCTTACATATAAAGAATTTTTACTCTAGTTTATTCTTAATTTTTAACCAAATCTGGTGTGGATGATAACCAAATAATTATCTAATAATATTATTTTATTTATTATGTTTATCTAATAGTAGAGCCGAAAATTCATACATACCTGAATTTTATTTTTAAAATTATTTTTAATTTAAAATTAATTATCTTATTTTATAAAAAAGTATATAATATATTTTTTTGGATACAGAAATGATATATAGAACTCAAAAATGTTTTAAAAAATATTAAAATATATTTTAAATATTATTTTAAGATATTTTATTGATTAAAAATAATAAAAATATGAAAATATAAATATTTTTAATTTTTTTAAAAAATAATTATAGTAGTGCACTCAAATGTATAGAATTTTAGTATAAAATGACATAAAATTTAAGAATTAATTAATATTTATTATATTTTATATATTTTTTAAAAATTTTATTTTTTTTATTCAGGCCTTGAGTCGAGTTTATTCGGGTCGGGCCGAATATTAGAAAGCTAATATTTTTTTGGATAGTTTGGGTTAGCCCATCTGACTTGATCCAAATTACCGTCTATAAGTCCCAATGGAAATAGGCATTCAGTCCCCATCTTCGCCATCGGTCCGATCTCGGTAGACACCATATGTTCAATCCAAATGGAAATCAACAAGTCAATTTCATTTGTCAGTGTTGGTCTGATCTCAATGGAAGTCAATCGATTGGTCCTTGTTATCGTTGTCAATCTAGTTCCAGAGGAAGTCAGCCTTCCGATTGTCGTCATCACCATCAATCTGATCCCGATAAAAGTCAACCGTCTAATTTTGGTCAACGATGACAGCTTGTTTTCATTGACTTCAACAATCTAATCCAATTACCATTGGTGAGTCAATCAAGCCTTTGTGAATTTGGGTTAAATTACAAAAAAAAGAATGAGTTAGAATTTAAAATAATAAGGGTTTAAAAAGAATTTTAAATTACAAAAAGATTAAGGTAAAATTTAGATTTATATTTAAATTTGGGTCAAATTCAAATCCATACATTTTTAATTATCCAAACAATAAATTTAACTCAAATTCAAATTCAAATTCATATATATCCAAACACAGCATTAAAGCTTTTTGAAGCCAAGACATACACTCCATGATTTTCATCCTTAGTGATATAGTCCCAAAATAAAATATGCTCATCTTGTAATATAGAAGATGCATGTTCGAATCCCAAAATAAGTGTGAAGAATGCGTTCCTCCATTGGAAAAGAGTGTAAATATAGGTGAATGAGTATAGATGTAATTAACTACTTGAAAAAGAAAGAAAGAAAACTTGGGGGTGATAACCAAGATGCTTTACTACAACTACTGCCACAACTCACATTGCAACAAATTTGGGAAGAAAACCGTTATAAATAAAATTGGGAAGAAAATCCAATATGAGCTACTGGCATATCAAGGGTGCTTGAAAACTTATTAGTCTTTTGACCTGAGTCATTGTCTATCTCCGAATTTACCAAAGCCCGTTTCCAACAGGTTTTCAAACGGTCAACCACAAGGCAAGTGAGATACCCCAAAAAAAAAAAAAAAAAAACTACTTTCTCACACTGCCACATTCCATTTCATCTAATGTTGCAATATGATGATTCCTTTCCACAGAAAAACCTACACATCCAATATAGCTTTGACTCTCCTGGTTCTCCTCCTGAGCTTCTGTAGGCTGTGCATGGCCAGAATTTTGAGCACCAAGTGTTTGAGTGGTGGCACTTGTTTCCTCCAACATCCTAAAGTAAGCATATGGTCCCCAGCCTGCAGAAATAATTCCAGAACATCAAGCAGTTTCAGAATTGAGTCATGAGATCTGCTAAGCATACAAAGTAGTTTGTGAAATTGTGATGCAACGGTATCACAATCTCATTCTTGTTCAGCTAGTCTTCTGAAAAAATATCTTTGCTACATATTTAGAAAATATAAGGTTGGATAACGTGGTTTTGAATTTGAGCACAGCTATTTTGACCAACGGAAAATTAATTCATCCCAAATTGAGAAGCTCCAGTTTCTCAGTTTTCTTTGATAACAGAGAAAAGATTCTGTCGTCAGTTATTAAAGACAGAATCATATCTTGGCAAAATTCATCATAGCTAAAAAAGGAACACTAGTAAAAAAAAAAAATTAATTAATTAATTTCTTGTGTTCCATAACCGGGCGAAACAAGCTCCACCAGTGAATGCACTTAAGCCAAAACCGAAAGTGACTTTTTGTGCCCTTCTTTCGTGGGAAGTAAAAGCAAACTAAAAAATTTAGAACAGATGAAGCTTTAAAAGCAGTCATTTGTCCCCCAGATCACAAAACAATAATAACAGGTTGCTTTTTTCAGAATAATGTCACTCCCAAACCAAGCTACTTGGCTATGAAACAGTGTCTAGAACTCCAAAGAGAATTTAGTTTCTGTGTGGTAGTTTTCCAGAGAGAATTACCAATTTATACAATCTGACAATGAACAGAGACATACAAACATAAGCCAATTATATAATTTTCACTGAAGCATACCTTCATGGTGATAAGGAGGAGGAAAAAATTGCAAATAGCAAAATGTAGCTACTACAAGCCCTGAAAGGATAATTCAAACATAGTCATTTAAAGCCCAAATGACAAATTTATGCCATCGATAATCATTACTGAATCTAATCCAAACCTAAAAGACCTCCAGCAAACACATCCTGCCAATGGTGCCAATAGTCATCAACTCGAGAAATGCCAACAAGCGATGCCACAAGCAAAGGGAGAAAAACAATGCAGAGCTTTGCAACATGGCCTGCACGGTCGAATGCTTTTATTTTACCAGATAAGTAAAGTGATAAGAAACCCAGACCAGCAAAGGACCCTGCACATAATTTGAAGCAAGCAACTGTTGAATCAAAATTTTAGAAAATAAGCAACCCACGTGTGGGTGTGGGTTAAGCTGAACTCCAGCATTTCCTCAAAACTAAATTCAAGGAAGTTATCAGCATGGCAAGACCTGTCATTTTGTCCTATAAAGAAGAGAAAGAATAAAAAACAAAAATGTAATACATACATGAAGTATGGCCACTAGGGAAACTCTTGTGTCCCTCCTTTATGACATTCTTGTCACCATGACATATGACATTTCCCAATTTGTCATAAACCTAACAAGAATCAATTAGTAATTGTTACAGCTGCTACCAATCAACTAAGTGGTTATATCATTATACAAAATCAGTATTACAATGGCGATCTCTCACACAAAGAATAATTAAGGAAAAACCTACATCCTTTCCATCTGGAAAACAACGCCAGAAGAAGTCTGGTCGGGGCCGACCTACAGCATTTTTTATTGAATCAGTAATTACTGCTGTTACTAAAACAGAGAACAAGAGACCTGCACCAGCAAACAACATAGTGTCACCCACTGTAACTGATTCATTTCAGCTATTTGCACTATATGCTTTGTGACATAGAAAAATGAGGATTTTTCACAAATTATTACCTAATATGGCATGATGAAGATCATAGACATCTCTCCTTCGGATATAGACAAAAATAAATATCAACATAGGTAATAAAACTGCATACATCTACCCATAAAAGAAAACACAGAGCCTTCTTAGTGTAATAATAAAGGGCCAAAAAAAAAAATAAAATGAAAGAATCATGTTTTAGCAAGTAAAATCCAAAGCAGTAAACTTACAGGAACAGCCCAAACAGGAACAGTATTACTTTTCAGGGGATACTTAAGATCGCTCATCATATCCTTCCCAACAAAGCGATAAAAAGGATGGATGATATATAGAATGATCTCAAGTAACACAAGGAGCAAGAGTATGAGCCAATCATGCCTGTGTGTTCTTGCAACTGTATACCCATGAGACATCACAGTATGTGAACCAAGCTGAATTTCCCTCATCCTGAATTCCTAGAGCACACAACAAAGCACAACGGAATTGAGAATACATGTCCATGAAAATTATTTTGCAATCAAAATTGAGGGGGAGCGCCCCAATGAAAACTTTTATTGCTTAGTTGGGTTGTTTATCTTCGTATGATTTTAAAGAGTAGTAAATGATACATCAGCATCTTTCAAAAAGCTTTAAAGTCCATCAAGAAAATAACCTTCTTATAAAAAATAAAAAATAAAAAAAAGGCAATAAAAGAGAGTCAGAGAATGCTTTCTGTTGTAATGGTATAGGTAAATTACTATCCCCTTCCAAAGAGATGCTTAAATTACATATCTATCCTGTTCATTATTAAATACACAAGTCTCTCTTAAAACTAATAGATGACCAAATACAGACAACGATACTATTGATTTCTTTTATAAAAAATATATTAAAAGACACATTTCTTAAAATTCTATTTTAATGTTATTTCTTGTGCATTCAAAATTTTCAAGTTTATCATAAATTTAAAAAAGCAAGTATTTTATATTGGTTAAATTCTTATTTGATATTTGCTATGTTATATAAGAAAACTTTATTTTTCTTAAAATAGATATAATGTAACTTATCTTTCAATGTGAGGAGGGCAGTGTAGTGAATCTTTTTTATCCCAAGGGAAAGGATGATAATTTTTCAGAATAGAGTAAAGAATTGCACAATTTGAGCATCCTTCAAGGGATTAGAGTGTATTTTACTCTAAAAATAATAGGCAGCTATAAAATAGTTAGCACTATACTTTTGTAGAAATTGGCAACATCTTGGTTCTTGACAGAACAGCAACTCATACAACAATAATCTAGTCATTTCCAGCTTTTTTAACCAGCTCAATGCAAGTAGCACATATAAGAAGGTAGTAAATCCCACCTATACTGATATCATGGACACAAAACTAATACATGAAAAATTTTAAAAGGGAAGCTTCAAACAAATGAAAGACAGTGTGTATACTGTACAAAACTACATGAAAAGCTTCAGCATGAGACGCTTGAGCCAAATTATACACAAATTCCCTTATTTTTTTTCGAATAATTGTATGCAGCTCTCCAACATGTAGCACATTTTAATTTCTTTTTTAGAGGAGCAGTAATGGATCAGGGCCACTTCATCAATAATATGTTACAACAAAAGCAATTGACAGAAGGAAGACTTCTAATGCCTTTCACCTAATCTCATTCTAGTAGGCTGGATTAATTAATTTATTACCTCTGATAATGGTTTGAATTAGTATAATTCTACTCTTAACCAAAACTTGAAGACATTGAACAATAACAGGATAAATACAAGCTAGGTTAGATACTTCAAGCTGTTATGAGACAGGAATTTTAATTAATGGCTACAAGGAATGTGCTCCCTATTCTCAATTAATTACTAGAATTCATATCAATATATAAAGTGAAATATATCTCTTTAAATAATATTAGTATTTTTAAGCAAAAACATATCCTTTTTATCCAAAGAAAATCTTAGTCATTTATATACCTCTTCATTCTCTTTCTCTATCAAAGAAAAATTAGCAGATGAAGAGTGATCACCCCTCACAGAAGAGATTCCCTGCCTCTCGCTTGATAAATCCTAGGTAACTCCGAAGAAAGCAATTTAGCAACAAAATATAATAAATAGGCCTTAGTTTGCTTTTCTTCCCAAATGTCTTGGCTTTTATCTGATCTTAAAGACAAATGAAACATAAAGGAAAGTAAACAAAGCTGTAAGTAATCCAAATTAGATGCCCTGTGAGGACTATCTTATCTATTCCTGTATCCAATACAACTATCCTAAGAATTTCTGGTATCCTGAAATTTTAAAACCTCAGCATGAATGCCAACATTTATAGTTTTATATGCAAGTCAGCAAGAGAATGTGTCTCCAAAGAAAGCAGATAATCTACAAGGTAAACAATAATTTGATTTTAAATTTAGGAAAAGCACTACAAATCAAGACAAATGATTATTCAAAACTAAGCCAGCAATTGTGGAAAATGTTTCCATTTACCAATTATTATCCAGAAATATATGAAGAGCACAATAGGCAAGATTCTCAAGAAGAAAGGGACAATTGAAATACCATATGCTAAATGAATCATAATTTCAGCACGCATTATTTGCCCAAGAATTATCAGGCAAAAATTAGAGCTTTAAGCCTTTACTTGTACAAAAGCCATAAACACAGCTCGAAAAGCTGATATCAGAGTCTGTCCCTAGATGCATAACATCCACAACAACAACAACAACAACAACAACAAGCCTTTATCCCACTAGGTGGGGTCGGCTACATGGATTGCAAGACGCCATTGTGCTCTATCAATAACATCCACATTCAAATAAAATATATTCATTTCTGGGATGATCAAGAGCACATTGTAGATTATTCATCCACTTTCAACGTTATCCGTTTAAGACAGACAGTACTTCTAGTCGACTGAACATTTTTCTTCCAAATTTGTACACCAAAAAAATAAAAAAATTGATATGAGCTCTCCACGTATAGTTTAAACAATCACCCATAACTAATTGTACCTGTAATTCAAGTTATCAAGAGTTGAGGAACACAGATCAAGAATAATCAATAACTGCTGAGAAAAAAAAAAACGAACAAGTCTCTCAATTTTTATAGCAGTCGCCTGCTGCAAAAATTGGACAACAGAAATGCTATCACCTTTTAACATGGTAAAAGGCAACTAACAACCAAGAACAGATTCCAAATAGAAGTATTCACAGCCGGCCACTAACCTGAAAGAGACTCCTAATATTTCGAAAATAAGAGGGAAATCTTGAATTCCCCCAAGCCATAGTGTGAACTAACGAAAATCAATCAAGAAAGGAAAAGAACAGTAACTTCGTAATCTTATAATTGCGTACAAAATACGACCCGGAAACTACGAAAAAACTGAACCCAGAAAGTTCATACATGCTGCAGTAAGAGGTCAAGCCAAAAGGACAAAGAAGAAAAAGCAAAAACATGAGGTGGAGAGAGCGAAGCTTCATTACCTAGGCCAAGAATTTTTTTTTGTTTTTTTGAAGAGAAATATCAGGATTCGATTGGTCGTATTAGGTCACATCAAGCAGATTCTTAGCATTCATTGATTGTTTAAATTCACTAAGCCGCCATTTTCGAGAGTGTTTTACTGCGGAAACTTCGGTTTGTGATTAGAAAAACTTCCGGGGAAATTAACCAAAAAAAAAAAAAAACAACTGGTAGAAAAAAAGGTGGGGCGGGGAGGAAGAAATAAGAAATCACGTATAAGGACTCACCGACGGTCATTGTTACAATTCAGGATCACGAAATGGTTAAAATTATATTAAATACTATTGTTCGTGATAAAAACTTGTTGGCGGAAATAGTTTCGTAGTGTCATGCTCTTTTGAGTATGTCAGGCATGCCGGAAAAGTTATGTCCTAGAAAGAGTTAGTATTGAAATAATTATAAATTTTTAATGTCCTTTATCATAATTTTCTTAAAATACCGAAGCTAATTAGAGTGCAAAGTACGCAACTAAGCATGCAGGTGTAGAAATGACAATGCATTGTTGGAGAGTAATTACAATGGGGGTGCTCCAGTGATTAAAGGGAAAACAAAATAACAAGCCTAGAGGATCGATATTGGAGATTATGGACCGTGCTAGATGAGTTTGAGATTGACATAGGATCATTTCAGTTTATTTAATACAATCTAATTGTGTAGAGTGTGGAAGAGAGATTCTAGTTATACGTTCATTGTCTTTTATACAATTAGGCAACAACATTTTTATTTGTTTGAAATTTAGCTAAGAAAATGTGGTGAAGTAGTGCTTCAAGCTTCACAAATAGTGGAGGGATAATTTTAAAATTTGGTCACCTCTTCATCGAAACACATTGTTTACTAATCATCTAAAAGTTTGGCCTTTAGCAGTGACAAAGCCACATTAATTTGCATCCTCTCACTTTAAAAAAAATTACAAGTAAGAGATATAAAATTTATAAATTTACATCCCTTACTTTTGATATTTTACACTCTCTAAATTAAATGTAAAATATTTGGACTTAAAAACTTATTAAATATATAATATTTTTAATGATTATGATAAGATATGAAGAACATGTTTACAATAAAAGATCATATTAATCTGTTCAATGTAATTTTTTTAAAATGAGAAATGAATAAAACTATTTATATTATTAAAAATTTAGTCCTAACATAATAATTATTTTAAAAAAATATTAATTTTTTTATTAAATTATTTTGCACCTTTTGATTCGAGGTCCTAACTCCACCATGGCCTTCATCAGACAATATTGTAATGGCTCCATTGCAAAGTTTCCTTGAGTCCGGACTCAGCATTCTCGTTGTTTAGTCCACACTGCCATTTTGGTGTCCAAACAACTATGATCATTTTTTGTAATTTGAAAAAATAACTTGTAATAACTTAGTGGGAGAAGTACTTAATAATAATAGTAACCTGTTACTAAAATACCATCTTATTTAATGCAATAAGACTTATTTCAATCATATATTGAAAAAATTTCAACCAAATTTTAATGCTCTCAACTGGGGTGATATTAAAATTTAAAAGGAAAATTGGTACATAATACTCCATCCGTCAAAATATATAAAACATTTTTAATCGAATCATATTTCTTAATAAAATAGTTACTTACTCTTAAACTAATTATATCTTTTCACAATTACTTATATTTAATAGAGTGTTTTACCTTAAAAAAATATATAAAATCTATTCAATAGGGGTGCTTTAAAAAAAGATAATAATTACACCACAAAAGACTAAAAATAAAAATACTTTATATTTTTTAACATTTAATTTCATCAAAAGTATCTTATATTTTTTAACGGGAAAAGTAATTATCAAGTTAGTTAAAATTATTTTTCAACCATGTACTAAGAAATTTCCAACCGCATTCTACTATTCTCAATAATAGTGATACGAAAACTAAAAAAATAGAATTTGATATGTTTTGACTAAATTTTAAGTTTGGAAGTTAAACAGTGTCCAAGTTAGTTAGAGTTGCTCTCCAACCAAGTATTAGAAAATTTCCTACCCAATTTCACTATTATCAGTAGTAATTATATGAAAACTAAAAAAATTGTGCATTTGAACCGAATCTCTAATATGAAAGTTCAATAGTTTTTATGTCAATTATAGTTATTTTTCAACAAAGTATTAAAAAATTTCTAACTCAATTTCACTATTCTCAATAATAGCGACATAAGAGGAATTTTTGTCAGAAAGAATTTTTTCTAATAACAGAGAAAAATATATTCTTTAAATGAAATTTGACTATTTTATAGTCCTGAATTGTACCAGGTCCTTATTTTTTTCCTAAACAAAACTGTATTGGAGCAAAATATATATTTCTATTATGAAGATTTTCTAATTTTTTATATTCAGTAACTTGCTACTTCTCTTTAGTTGCTTCTAAAATTAATTTTAATTTAATTATTTAAAATTTCACTTTTATCTCTTAATCAATTTCTTTTTTTTTTGTTACTCATATCTACTAGAGGTAATCCTATTCAAGGCATTATTGAATATTAAATGTGGGTATATCTTCAAGCAAAAATTTGAACCTTGATTAATTACGTTGAGAGGAACTAATTCCTTTTGTTATACCAACCCTCATTGGTAAATTTTTTTTATTACTTACATGTAATTTTTTATTGAAGATAATTTTATTCAAAGTATGATTAGGTATTAAATATAAATACCTCTTACAACAATTTAACTTGACAAAGACCCAACTTGAAAAAGAAAAAATGAAGGAAATAATACCAACAACAATCCTTCAATAAAAAACCTCAGTCTCATCCAAACTCAAATGAATGGTTGAAGACCCAAGAGAAATTGGGCCATCTGATTTTTGAAAAAAAAATTGACTGCAACTTTAGATTGCCCAAGGATTTTTTTGAGGCCCATTTACCCTTTAAGCAAATTGGGTCATTTATTTTCTATTGGTTTAATTGATAAAGAGTTATGGAATTAAATCTTATTATTGATGTAAAAAATTTTATTGACAGGTGATCTGTAAGTATTTATCTAAATGCTCATTGAAGTATTTTAATCTATCACAATATGATGAATTAAGATTCAAATTTTTTTTGAGAAATGTGCTTGTATTTAATTCTTAACTATACCTCAAACCAAATTGCCTCCAATAGCAGAACACCTACAAGCAATAAAAAAAACTAGTTTTGTATTGTTGTAATAAAAAAAACAAGTTCTGTATTGTTCAGTTTATTAATGTTATCTTTTTTTTTAGTTTAATCTATTTATTAAAGGAGAAATTTGAATTTTGAATTGATTGATACTCCCTCCATTTCCACATATAAATTTTTTTAAGGCTCTAGTATTCAAATTAAAAAAATATATAATTAATACATTAAAATAGTGACTACATGATCGAATTTAGTGCTTTATTCATAAATAAAAGTGTAATAGGAAAAATGTTAATAAATGCTACTTCGGACTTCCAAAAAGATATATAAATTGAAATAAAAGTTTTCTTCCAAAATGACTTATATTTTGAAACCCAGAGAATAGAAAATTATTAGTAATCTCTATGTTTTTTAAGATAAAATTACATATTTTACCCAGATAAAAAATAAAAAACACTTAGAATTAGATCATGTCTGTAAATTTATCACATCATTCCACTTTTATCCTTATAAAAACAAAAGCGCATAATTTTTAAAGAGGGAAAGGATATTTTTTTTAGAATATTTTAAGTTGAAATTTCATGTCAATTTTTCTGTAGCTTGCTATCTTGTGTGTGTCTGTTTTTCTAACTAACATTTTCTATATAATATAATTTATTATTTTGCTAGAAGAATTGAAAACTTAAACTTTACACGAACCACGCCTGTGCATGCGATGCGAGTATTCAATTATTCATGCGTGCATGGCATGTGTGCGAGAGTGTGAGAATTATCACTTTAGCTCTCAAGCTAACTCGGATAATAAAGATGGGTAGTAGTGTAGATAGAAAGTAAGGATTCAAATCTCATATGTATTAAAAAATGAAAAAATGAGCAAATTAATTTTTAAACTATAAATTCAAAAGTATTTGAGACTCTAAATTCATTTTTTATATAATTTTTTCCTTCAACTGTTAAAACAGTATAATCTAATCTCTATCATTAATAAATGTTAATTTTGACCGTTAGTTAACCAGAAAAATACATTAAAAGTTATAGAAAAAAGACCAAAAATCTTTCTTTTGGTCATTTTCTCTAACTTTTTTGGTCCTCATTTGTAATTTGCAAGGTTATTTTTTATCACTTTCTAATCAACTATCTGTTAAAGTTAACTTTTATTAATAGTAAGAGTTAAATTGTATTGTTTTCAAAAGTTAAAAAAGAATATTACACAAAAGATGAATTTAAAATCTCAGTCAGTTCTAAACCTATTGTTTAGTAGCCAATTTGCTCATATACCCTTAAAAATTTATGATCTTGGTGAATAAATTTTGTCTAATGAACATATAAAGGCTGTGTGAGCATTTAAAAAAAAATGTTATTTTTACTTGCAATGATTGATCATGCCTGCTTCAATTATATATATATATATATATATATATATATTATATTGTTAGTACTCATCCACACATTAATTTACTAAGAATTCATTGATAAATGCATGTTTGTATGTGTTTATTAAAAAAAGAAGAAGAAGAATAAGGAGAAGAAGCAGCATGTCTGTATGTTAAGCATATGGTTGTAAACTCAATTAATTAGTGTTTAATACAATGTACTTATAATGTAGTTAGCTAGCCACCATCAAAATATTCACATCATGACTGCATTTTTAAGAGTATTATTGAAAAATCTATTATTCAACTCTAGATATTCGAGAGTACATTGTGGTGGCTTATACAAAAACAGAAGTAGAAGGCTTCAGATTTCTTAACATTAACAATTAAATCACACATGCTATCTAGATGGATCAATCATTAATGAGAAGGATCATAGAATCATTTTCACAAATAAGAAGGATCTTATTTGAATATCTCTAAATTAATGCATAAATAAACTAGGTTCACGTGGTAGCTACTTTTCTTGCTTCTCCATTTTGGTAATATATCAAAATTTAATTTATAATAGCATATTTTAATTATGATGTACCGGCGGCTTAGATGAACTCCTTATTAGAATAATTAGAAGTTGGATTCAAAGTTTAGACCTATATAACATATTATCATATTATTATATGCATGAGAGAGAGAGAGAGAGAGAGAGAGAGAACCTATATCTACACACGTATAGTAAATTAAGCATATTCTATATATAATCTAATTATAATATAGATGAATATATTAATAACAAAAGGCGGTTAATTCTCAATACCAAAATTAAAAAAAAAAGATTAGGATTAGAGGCTATGACTTGTTTAAAATAATATTTGCTGTATTGTTGATCAATAATAATAAATGATAGGTTGAATGTTGAAAGTTTGAATAACATATATATAAGCTGACCCACTGTCATTAGCGTTTGGTTGAATAGACTAATACACGTCATTCATATAATTGTTTTAGCAAATCAATTTTTTGGTCGTTGAGTAAATTTAAATCATTATTCAAGAGTCAAGTTTTTTGAAAGCGATGGTAAAATATTTTTGGATCAAAGAGTAAAATATATAATCCATTAGTTAGCGTATAAATCAAGAAAATGTCAAAGTGATTGCTGATAATATATAGGATAAAAAAGTAAATTAGTCATTAAACTGTAGATCCAGGAGCATCTAAGACTTCAAATTTATTTTTTATAAAATATTTTTATTTAACTTTTAAAAATAGTGTAAACTGTCCCTTGTTGTTAACAAATATTAATTTTAACTGTAATTGATTAGAAAATAATAGAAAAGGACATCAAAAATAAAAAGAACAATAAAATTTTCTTTGTCCTTGTCCTCTTCTCTGTAATTTTTTGGATTCTTATTTATAATTTTGGGATCTTTTATTATAATTTTTGTTGTTCTTTTTTATAATCTTGAAGTTCTTTTCTATCATTTTTTTAATTAACTAACAGTTAAAAATAATTTTTGTTAATAACATGAGTCAAATTGCATTATTTTTAAAAATTGAAAGAGAACATTGCACAGGAAATAAATTTAGAATGAGACATTTTTGGATTTATAGCTCGGGTGCTAATTTGCTCTTTTGTCCTAATGTATATTACTATACTTTTTATGAAGAAAATTAAAAGTCTATTAATGATTGGTTGACTATGATATAATTAATATTATTTCATATGAAATAGCTCTACTAAAAATTTTATGTTGTAGTAAAGCAAACCGACATTTACGTTAGTGAATATAAAAAAAAATTATAGGAAGATGCGTAAATTCACATCCATTGATCGGTAGAATTTGGATGCCATAATGATGGGCTTATTGATTTTTTTTTGTAGGTCAATTTATTTTAATTATTAAGAGATAATTTGAGCAAATTATAAAATATGAACATTTTTTTATATTTAAATCCCATCATATGTATTTAAAACATTAGATGATATTAATTTGAAAACATATTGAGTGTTCATTGAATCCTAAACCTTTTTCAAGTTTTAATGAATATTCTGATATTGATCGATGTCTTAATTTATTTTTAAATTTGAATTAGAAACTATTAAGAGAAGTGTTAACAAAAGAAATCATTACTATAATAATAAAAATACAAAACTATATGAATAACATGTTGTTTTATTAAGAAAAAAAAACACATTGTTTTTCAACTGCATACCTTGCTTAAGATGCTATTGACAATACCTGTAGTATTTGTTAACTTACCGTGGGTAAAAGAATTTTTTTCATAAACTAAGATTCCTTAAATTTTATATAAGACCACTTCATTTTTTTTTTTTTGCTTAACCATGTTATGTGAAAAGAATTAAATACATTGCTATTATTGATAGAAAAATATTAAAATGTTTTAACTACAAAATTTTCATAAATATTTTGGAAGTCAAAAAATTATAAGATAAAGTTAACCAATTTCGTGTTTATTAAGAAATAGTAATATATTCATAAAATTATGAAAAAATATGTAATTTTCTAATTTTATCCTTGTTTGCAATTAATAATCATAATATATTTTTATTTAAAAATTCAAATGATAATAAATAAGAGGAGAAATCAGAAAAAAAAAGAATCATTAATTACTCTAATTTTACAGGATTTTTTTTTTTGAAAAATTTTTGCCTTCAGGAGTAAAGGAGCACATCCATTCAATAATAAGTACTCAATCAATAATTTTACTGAGATCCCCAAAATTTCTAGAAACGAAGTGGGAATAGTCTCTAGTTTTTTTTTTTTGAAAAAAGATCAATTTCATTAAAATAAAATGAAATACGTAATAAAACAATCCAAATCAAATAAGGTTAATTTGGGTTTTGAGTCCTAAGAATATTGCACATGACAAACATAAAACAATAAGAGGAAAAAGAGCAAACCCAGCTAATGTGAAGTTTTGAACAATACCCAGATAGACAGTAACGAAAAGTCCTAAATGGATCAACGCAAGAGCTGCGTCCAACTTGAACCAACTTGTCTTGCTAATCGTCTCGATTTTTGAAGAAGCTCTGTTCAATTAGCGTTTAAGAGGACAAAGAAAAATAGTGCATCGTTGCTCATTCCAACAAAGGCGGTAAGGAGAGGCACCCTGAAATACCCCATAGGGTTTGAAATGCTGTTGAGAAGCTAGTAATGATATTGAGACAATGGAATTTAAAGCGGATAGGTCAAAGACAGCAAAAGCACCAAAACCATGACGAGAAACATAGAGAAAAGCAATCAACAACCATGACCTCCTTGCAATGTAGTTCGACATCATGAAGAAGAAACCTATCACCTTGAAGCTAGAGCTTGCAGTGTTGACAGCCTCAAAACTATCAAAGAAGAAAAACACAAGACCTAACATATTAGTAGGAATAAGCAGTATTACATTTAGGGTCTCTAAGTGGCTGCTGAGGAACTTAGAGACCCTCAAAACTATTATATGAGCCTATGGAGCTTTTTAGCTGAAGCTCCATAAGAACTAGATCTGTACAGGCTTTTAAATGTGTTTCATCCAGCAATTTTTTGATGGCTCGTGTACTATGAACCAATATTGAGATGGTGACATTAAAAAAAAAAACTCTTCTTGGGTTGTAAATAAGAGAGATTGATGATAGTACCCTTTAGATGAGCCATTGCTATAGAAGATAAGCTTGTGCTTTGCTTTCCATTTCTCTTGCGTCTACAAGGAGAGGCATAGACATCTCTATTGGTACTCACAAGTTGGGTCTCAGCATAGTTAGGATTGGAAGCTTCTTTCATGTCTTAGGACACCTTTGGATGAGCAGTAGAGGGATCAATATAAATATTTTTTTTTTTTTTTGCTTTTTTAAGACTTGGGATAAAAGAATTATCCAAGTTATCCCTCTTTCGCTTTGTACCCAAAATCTGAAAGGGATCTTGCGTATTTTTTTGGCTCAGAGTCTGATTCCATTTACATTATTCACCGGCTTATAAGACCTATAACTTCTGTTAAAATGAATATTAATTGATCGAGAATACCAAGCCTCAACAGATGAATTTGGTTGGAATGTGACCGTTGATTCTAGCAAGATTGATGAACATGACCAATCTCCATATAATTGTAGCAAACTCTATTTCCAACCCTTTCCAAAATAAGTGTTAACTGAATCAAATCGCCATTGGAAAACTTTAGATAAAAAAAATTGCAAGGCACATAAATTAAATTCTGTTATAGAGATTTGAAATCGCAGACCATGACTTCTAAACATGCTTTCTCTATCAAATTGAAGAAATTGTCCCAAGTGCTGAGCTAAGAATGAGCCCGTTTCTAGATTGTAATAATCTAAGGGTGAAAAAAGAAGGGAAACATAAGAGGGCCAAAAAGAAAAAAAGAAAAAAGGCTTGACAAATGAAAAGTGTTAAATTATATAACACTTTTGATAGAGTTTCTTTATTTAAAAATATAAAACACTTTAAATAAATTAAAATTTTATTAAATACATTAATTTTAATATTATTTTTTTCTTTTTATAATTAATTTTTGTCTCTTCTCTTTTTAATATATTAAAAAATAAATATTTTTAAAAGTTTATATTTTTATTTTAAAAGATAAGATTATTACATATATTTAATAAAATTGATTGATATATAAAATTTTATTTAAAAACAGTTTATAATTTAAGATATATCTCAAATCCTCCTCTCATTGAAAGTAGGAGAGAACGCAATTTCCAGACTGTTGAACCCCAATATAATTATGATGAAAGAAAAGTGCTGCACTAATCACAATATAAATGGGATAAGAACAACAAAGATGAAGGTGACGACCGTGATGACGGATATTAATATAATGCTTCAGGACAGAAGGCGTGAAATTGTACGACTCCTATTGTTTTTTTTTTCCTTTTTCTATTATTATTAGAATATGATTTTTTTTAATGAAAATTAGAATATGATTTTATAATGTCAAAAGGGCGTGTCCAAAAGGTTTGGCAAGTCCAAAACAGCGAAAGCCTAAATCTATTTTACCAAGATTTAAAGAATTTTGCAAATTCTGCAAATTACATGTGATCATAAATTGACACAATAAATTTTTAAATTAAATAATAAGATTTATATGTATGGATAGAACAAAAATTATTTGAGCAAATGATTTCTAATACTTTACTACCAACTTACTTGATTCATTCAACATGTTAAGTTACGTTCTAAGGTTAAATAAAAAAGAAAGAAAGAAAGAAAGAATGAGTCTTTCACGTCTTTAAAATTATAAAGTGAGCGCATACCTATGAGTATGACCTGAAAGATTAGTCGTTTAGATAACATTTCAATGATCCGCTGGTCAGAAAAAAAAAAAAGGGAATGAACAAATAAATAATACTTCTATTTTTCAACCAAAAAACAGTATTATATTAATTTCATGATTGGTGTGATTTTAAGAACCAAATAAAAAGATATATTTGATAAAATATTAAATCCAAATTTAAATGGTCAAAATATTAATCTTAACCAATAATAAAAAGAAGAAGAATGGGAACTAAATCAAATAATAGGAAAGGAAAAGGAGAGAATAAAAGTAACTTTCAATTAGCTTATGCTCAAAACCTGAGCCATTAATAGTATTGAATATGGATTAGTGGTATGAAAAATTATCTCCTATCATAATTAATCTCCTCCTATTTGGTCAAAAAAAAAATTAATCTGTTCCTAAAATATTCTCATAACTTATTATAAAGTATCTTTTAAAAAAGATTGATGTTTCTTAATATAAGGTACTTGGTGGGATATTAATTAATTTATTTAACATTATCCTTATTTAAATTCATTAATTATAAGAAAAAGAGTGAATTACAGTTAGGTGCCACACACAAAGGAATTAATTAATGCTAGGTCCATTGATAATAGTTGTCATTAATGTAGTTTAGTTCAGTTGTCAATGAACTTTACAGTAATTAATTTCTTTGTGTGGGACTTTAATATTATTTTCTCTAAAAAAAAATGTAATGCAAATTTACTTTTTTAAAGAAATTGCTAGTTATCTTATCTTCCAAGAATTTTAGTGAATTGGACGGTGATTTTTCTCTCTTTTTTTAAAAGAAAACGGTCAAATTATTTGAACTTCTTTAATGATTACGTTGCCGCTTATCTCTTTTCTTCATGCTTCTAGATATCCTTCGTCATAGAAAAAGAAAATAATGAACAAATTAAATGAGTGTAAACACCTAGTACTAGTATAGATAAATAGCTATCGCATTAATAAATGAATAATAAATATTTTCTCTATCTCAAATAAGATGCTACTTTTCAAGATATTTCACGTTTCAAAATATAAAATATTTTAATAAAAATGCGTTTTTATTAATTTAAATATTAATATTTCTCTTTATTTTTAATATTTTCTGTAAATAGATATTAAATGAAAAATATTTTTAATAATTTATATTTTTATTAAAAAACTAAAATTGTAAAATATATCTAATAAATTTTATTGATATACTCTTTCTATTAAAAAATATAAAATTTTTTTTGAGAAGTTGAATAGTAAAAACTGTAAAGTATTTTTAATTTTTTGAAATGTAATTATTATCTTTTTATCTAAAATTTTTTTTATTGATGATGACTTTATATTTATTATAAGGTATTTAATAGAGGTAAATATGAAAAGATAAGATTAATTAAAAAATATGTAATTACTTTATTGAGAATAAAATTTAATTAAAAATATTTTATATTCTTGAATGAAGGGAGTATATAATTTTATCTACAAATAAGAGCAATTAAATGCCTCTTGAGTGATGTTGATTGATTATTCTGTTGAGGTATGCAAACAATCTCTATAATGCATGCATAACAATATATTAATGATTAATTTTGATTTCAACATCTTGGCAAAAGAAATTTGAATTCAACATCATGCAATTAATGCCCAAACATATAAAAAATAAATTAATTAATAGCATGGTTTTAATTAATATTCTTGCCTTCAATTAATGTACTATAATTTTCCAATATCATATTGCCCCCCTTAGAACATGGACTGAAAGTCTGAAACCCGCAACGTTAATTTTCGGTCAGACCGACTTTGCCGTCTATCTCCGATGTCACGTATATAAATTAGGAAAAATTTCACTAAGGACCTTGGACTAGAGATAATAAAAAAAAAAGACTCTTAAATTTTTAAAATTTCACTAAAACACCTGTACAGAATTTTATTTGAATTTGTGATAGAAATGACAAAATTACTCTCATTTAAATGAACAATAAAAATGACTTATTTATTCGTATACTCTACATTATTCATTTATTTATGAAATGTTATTCATTTTTTTACTTTATTTATTTATAGTCCTACTTTCACTTGATTTTATTTCAAAGCCATAAATAAGTGAAGTAGGAAAATGAATAATATTTTATAAATAAATAAACAATATACAATATAGAAATAAACAAGTCATTTATTATGAAATCAAAATTTGAAATGAAATCAAATGAAACTGGAGCTATAAATAAATGAAGTAAGAAAATGAATAATATTTCATAAGTAAGCGAACAATATATAATATGAGAATGAACAAGTCATTTATGTTCAATTAAATGAGGGCAATTTTGTCATTTTTGTCACAAATTTGACATAAATTTTATAGGATTTTTTAATGAAATCTTATAAATTCAAGGGTTTTTTTTTTATTATTTGTGGTCAAGAGTCCTTTATTGAAATTTTTTCTATAAATTATTATTGCACCGATCGTATGCGAATGAAGAGAAAAGTTTTATGATTTTATAATATATAATATTATATCGAACATTGTTATGGATTTGGATTTTGACTTCAATTTGTCTATTTTATGAGAGGTTGAACAGTAAAAAAAATTCTTATTTTTAAATTATCAGCATTTTATATACAATGAAAGATTGGATTAACAACTAATTAATTTAGATACACAATTATTAATTTGTCAGAAAGTATCCATTTGAGAGTTGTGGTATCTTTTTTTTCTTTTTGAAAATAGCTCATTAGTATTTTTATTTAATAATTTAATAATTTAATAATTTTTATTCTTAAGTTGATGATTAAAAAATTGGTTTTATTTTATATTTTACATTGCTAAAAATATTACAATAAAAAAAATAAAAATAGTTTATAACTTTATATATACAACCTCAAATGATACAACTAATCTACTATATCCATCAATATCATATGCATCTATTTTTTTTTTTAAAGAAGAATTAAATAATATCCAACAACTGGATTCCTCTCATGGTAATAACATTAAACAAAAGTCAATCTATTGAAAAATGAAAATTCAATGCACCTTCCATCCTTATTTATATATAGATAATCATACTTCTCCAACATTCTCTTTCTCTAAGTCCAAGCTATTCACTAAACTTGATCAACTCTCTCTCTCTCTCTCTCTCTCTCTCTCTCTCTCTCTCTCTCTGTGCCTGCAAAACATGGAAACGGAAACCCTCCTACCGAAGCGGAGATCCGGTGGCTTAAATATGAACTGGCGGCGGATGAGATACCAGCGACTCGGCGGCAGCGGCAGTATCCTGGAGAAAGTGCGGAAGAAGAAGATGACGAAGATGGTTTGGTTGAAAGGATCGCGGAGGTATTTGAGGATCAAGGCAATCCCAAAGCTGAGATTGGTGGTTAGGTCGCCATTGAAGTTATTGACTAAGCTGAAGGATGCTTATATTGACTTGATGTTGAGGTTTTCTGGAAAAGTAGGAGGAGGCTTGATCGGTGTTGGCGGCGGCGGCGATGGCGTGTTTGGCAAAAAGAGAATCCCAAAAGGTCGTCAAGTGACAGATAGATTTTCCATGTCTGAGTTTGAAGCTAGGCTCATCTTTGAGATTTCCAAGGTCTTGGTTGCTTCTCGTGAATTAAAACCTATGTAATATAATCATCACCATCTTCTGCTTTCTTAATTTCCCTCTATCTGTTTTTTTTTTTGGTTAATTTGTTCATATATTATTTTCCTTGAAAAAATTTCATTGTTAATTATTACCCGTTGTTATATCCGTCAGCAAATGTTCAGGGATGAATTATCAAGAACTGTATGTTTTTATTTTTTTTTAATTTCCTTCGGGAAAAAAAATTTGAAACCTTAGGTGTACTCTCTTCCTTGGTATTTAATCATTCCATTTATTTTTTATTCCTTTTCTATAAATTAACTCTTCAAGATTTGTAATTTGTTAGCTCTAGTAAAAAAAAGTTTTTACAATTTACAATTAGTGTTATTATTTTATGATTGGTGCAAAAAGTGTTATAAGATCAGTGTAAAAATGTGAGAAAAAGATAAAAAATATTTGTTAAAATTTTCTACCCCAGTTGTAAGCTACTATATAATTATAAAAATGATCTCAGCCATGTTTTCTACACGTTTCTTCTGCAACCTATGTAAAAAAAAAAAAATTCAATGTGAAACCAACGGTGTTTGTTAAATTCTTTGTGTATATAGCTATTTTGAGAGGGTAATTCAAAATGTACGTGTAACAAGTTATAAGCTTTCTTGAAAAATAAGTAACTTGTGAAGATTAATAAATCCAACAATAGCAACAACGAAAAATCTTATTTCAACAAGTGAGGTTGGTTACAAGAATATTGTTTATATCAATGTGAAATTTGTCAAAGTTTTACGTTTGCTGTACAATGAAGGCCTAACAAATTCAACTTTTAAAAAAATCACGTTCTTGAACATGTAATCACAACACAAGATATCAGTTTGTTTTCATCACACAAATCACAATATAATTGAATATAATCCACTTTTATGACATCAATGAGGTTATATTTATTTTCAATTTATTATTTAACATATAATTTATTTCCAAAATCTCATTCATATACTTGATCTATAACAATCTTTTCTTCAAAGTATGTGCTCAAGAAATGCTTATCAAAATCATGATAATGATATCTTCGTTGAATTTTCTTTTTGACATAATATAATTGAACGCCAACCAATTGCAAAGTCACAATCAGCTTGCATATTAGACCTGCACTAACCAGGTCAAAACCACATGCCTCGCACATTTGGATTTTTCTATGCATAATTTCTCAAGCAATTCTATCTATATATAGGTCATTTTTACTCAGAAATTTCTTATATATATATATATATATATATTTATATTTATATTTATATGATTTAATTCCATTAGATGCATGACTTTTCTTAAACCTCATTGGCACTTGTAGATCCAATTAAAAGATTTCGTTACAAGATCAACTTGTGTATTTACTGAAAATTTTCTGTTTTATAATGAAATTAGTATTGAGTCTCGTGTATATTGCTGAGTCTGATAAATGTAGTTGTTCATATTTCATGAACAATGAAGTTTGACAGATTCTTCACATAGAATTATTGACAAGACTTCTTCTACTCTAATTTTTATTAAATTAAATTCGAGGATTATTACATGACCGCCTATATTATTTGAATAATTATATATATATATATATATATCGAATGGAAGTCAAGAATCAAGATAGTTAGCTGAAAGTAATCATGCCGATCATGCTTTGAATTTTATATGTTGCGTAAGAACATAATTGACTTATTTACTTATTTGTAAACGTACACACATGCCTTCTCACTCACACACACGTTGGGCTTTACGTTCTTTTATATGTGTGTGTGTGCATAGCATAAAGAATAGGCTCTACTGTCAGTAGAAATTATCTCTTCCAAAATTTTGAGAGCAAAAGGTAGACATCTTTCAATTAAATTGTTACATACATAAAGAGAATCTGGATACTTAATTCTTAATTCTTACTTCTTTTTATTTTTCTACTTTTAAAAAGAAACTTTTTGGGCGAACAAAGCAATCTCATATATATATATATATATATATGTTTTTAGAGAGAGAGAGAGAGAGAGCAAAAGACACTAACTTTTGTTTTAGAACTTTAATTTTAGTTATATTTAATTATAATTTTTTCTATTTTAAAAATCTATATAAACTTTTCTTGAATGTTATACAACATATATCCCCTTTCTATTTTAAAGATCTTTTTATCAATCTAACCATTAATTAATTTTTAAATCACATATTTTAAACTAAAATACCCTTATTTTAAGCATAAATATAGTTTAAAAATCATTTACACTGCCAACAAATAAACTTAATGCATATATTTTTAAAAAATTAAGCAATATTTTAAATTTTCAGTTATATAAACTTATTTATTTAGTAGTTTTTTAAAATTTAAATATACAAGCTGGTTAAAATAATATTTCAAAGACTCATGCACAAAACACTCTTTGATGAATTAGAAATTTAATATAATGAGGATAAATTAGTAGATTCAATTTACATTTATTTTACTTTATTTTCTTAAAATTTTAATTTTAATATAATTTATGTTCATTAATATTAATATTTTTATAAAATATATATTACAATATTAATCTTTAATAATTGCCACTTTAAATGTGCAGTTTTATTTTGAAAATAATTGCCACTTTTATTTTTTAAAAAAAATTAATTATTTTTAAATAATTATACTCTTTAACAAAAATAGTTATTTTAAGACACTATAATAAATAGGGTATTTTAGTAGAATGCTAATATATTTTGTCCAAATTTAAGTTATTTCTTTGATTTTTTTTAATCTGCGTTCACAATTTCAAAATAGTATTTTGGAACCCCGGGAGAAACAGGACACAATTAAAAATATTGGGTGGGTACATGATTTGATTGAGGTATACGTAAGCGATCTTTTTTATAATATTAATGAACTTAATATTAAAATCCATCAGTGCGAAGAACTTCATGAAGACCCTTTCATACATGCTTCATGATCTTACAAAGCAAATCCCACGCATAAATAAGAAAGAATTGAGTCACTGACACCTTTTCCTTTAAACTAGTATAATATAATTTACAATGTAACGAGGAGAGAATTATATTAAAGTCTCACATGACAAAATTAATTATTATAATATCCATTAATAATTAAACTAAAAAAATTGTATTGTCAATAATTTTAATTCAGTTGTTAATAAATTTTATAATAATTAATTTTTTATATGAGATCTGTATATAATTAAGTGTTTAAAGAGAGGATTAATGATAGTTAAATCTTTAATAAAATAATTTAAAAGATAAGTTGCTGACAGTTTCCATTATAAATAATAAAATTGTTAAACTTGTTGGTTGCCCTACATGCCCAACCCAATAAAAAATTGCCTAGCTGGGCCCCAAAAACAAACAAAGGCATAGAATGCTTTGGGTTCATTTGGGCCGAGCTGAACATTAGGTAGGGCTAGGCATCAGCAAGGTATGCTACCTAGCCAGTTTGATCCAATCAAAAATACATACATACATGTATATATATATGTACACACACATGTATGTAATATGCACGTGGTCCCTCAAAAATTATTGATATTCTACATTTCTTGATATAACAATATTGTTCTCTAATTTTTAAAAGGAATGCAATATTGCTCCAGTATTATTATTTTTTGGCCAATTAACGGTGTTGACTGATAAAATAAAGGGAGAATGACAGTTAAGGACCCCCTAAGGATATTAATTTTAATTAGGGATCCTGAAAAATAGAAATTCCAAATTAGGACTGTGGTCCTTAATTGGGATCAAAAAATATTGAATTGTCGAAAATGCCCCTGAGCTTAAAACAAAGGTACCGCACATGAGAGAGCCCTATTCCTGCTCTGTTTCGGTGTCTTCCTCGGTTGCTCCTTCTCGTCGTCTTCCTCTATTTCAGCTCGGTCGGTTGCTTAATCACTAATCGAGTTCTCTATATCAGCTCCAGGGGTGCACAGTCGCTGGTGAGAGGTCCTCTATTGTTGCTCCCATTTTCAGTCCGGTGTGCGTGCTCTGTGGTCGGTGCCTCCTCTTCTCTTCTTCCAGGTTCGGTACCTCTCTCTCTCTCCTTCCATCCCTCGGTCTGTTCTTTGGTAGGGACGAGATTGATTTTGTGTTTGTTGTTGATTGTGCATTTTTTTTCCAAATGTCATTCCAGTAAGGTATTTGCAAAAGAGAAGAAACTGTAGTAATATTGATTTGTGATCCCAAAATAGTTTCATATTTGTTTATATTTATGTGATATTCAAACCTAATTTTTGCTCTATTCTATGATTTTGCCATGAATTTGAGAAGAAAGAGTCAGAAGCCTTTTGTTCATCTAGTATTTTTATATTGTAAAATGAATTTATTTTGTTCTGTTCTTTTGCTAGCTGAGCACATATACTAGCAATGAACTGGAAATTTGTAACATTTGGTTATGTGTCTTTCAACAAGTAATGAAAATCAGCCCAGAGCTAGCTCTTTTAAAATATAGGACCGTTACAAAAGGAAGAAAGGCACTGCTTAACAAGAACTTTGGACTCTTCCTTGATTCCTTCCATATGTTACACCAAAACTTAGGTTCTACATTGGCATGTTTGGTGTTTGGTCTCTGGATTTGGAAAAGCTTTCCTTTTTATAATAGAAGAAAAACATAAATATAGATTATAGCAGAAAGATCGATAAGATATTATAGACTAATAAAATAGTTAAAAATAAAGGTTTGACAAGGTTCTTTTAACTTGAAAATTTGCTTGTGTAAAAGAAGAATGCAATCTTAACCAAAAAATTAGTGAAGTTAGGGAGGCTGTGACTATGACTTTCCCTGACCCTCGCATGTTCAATGAAGAAAATTCAAATTTCATGTTTGGTAAATCTAATGGCATTATTTTGTGTATTCATTGGTGACGTTAGATACATTCAATAGTAGTTTTTTTTTACCCTAATTGTTTATGTGCAGGATAATGGCTAAAACAAAAGGAAATCCTTTAAGGAAAAAAAAATTGTTCTGGTTTGAGCAAGTTCAAAGAGGCATATCGTGGCAAGTATACAACCTAAGGAAATGATTTGAAAAAACTCAATGCAGAAGCAGTTGCAGCATGGAAAAAGTTGACATCAGAAGAATAAGATCACTATAAGTGTTTGGCTAAGGAGGAAAACGCTGGTATAAAAGCTTACGAGGTACGTTGTTTTTGACCTCAAGCATAAAAAATGTGATGAATTCAAGTAATGGTGCTGACTTGTTTTACTTAGACAGATTTCATTTGAGACAAGGTGTTCTCCGACAAAGATGAAGGAAGTTTTTGATTATATCAAAAAGTGAAAATCTTTGAGGGAT